TGGGATGATCGGGCATGCTTCTGATTTTCTCGATTGGATACGGGTGCGGTGCTTCCTTTGGATCTTCCTCCCCTCCCTATCGATATCTCCATCCTTTGGTTTGGTGATCATCGCTCGCTAGTGAGGGTTTCCTTTCCGGGTCCGAAAAGGAGAGGTACACGATGGGATGGGGTGGTCAATCTTTGGAGATTATTGTAGTTTCCTCTGGATCCGAGTGAATCTTGTTCAGCTGGTGGTGGGGTGGATGGTGAATAGGGGGTTTGGGATGGATGCAGTGCGTATGCATACTTACTAGTTTGCTACGTAGTAGTAGGAGGTATGGGTCTATGTCTATGGGTCTTGGTGATCCTAGTCCTAGGGGGGGATACATTGGAGTATTGATGAGCTACTGCAAGATTTACGGACTTAGTATGGGTATGTGGGATTTAGATATCCCACTTTTGTTGAGGTGTTCAGCTTGATGGTAAGTTTATGGGAGGAGAGAGTGCATTTACCGAATGGATGGGCTTGTCTCACTAAATAGCCTGAGTATTAAAGGCTATATACGATAGAGGCTGCGCTATGGGGGTGAAAATAGCCGCCACTACTACCACTAAAGCATAACATGGAAACTAGGGATACTCAACGAATTATCTGTAGACTGGATTGTGTAGTAGGGCATAGCCCGGAAATACTGAGATCTATTATCTAGAAGTATGAAACTACTACTACGCAGTAATATTGCTGTACTAGCAACCTGACTAGGATATATATCCTGAACCCAATATGGAAGAATGACATAAAAGTTACTACTAGTACTTACTAAAGTACTAATAGTACCAACATGCTTATCCCAAACGTAGTACACACCCACGAGGCAGTCAATCTACCTATCCAAGCCTTACTCCCACCACCTTAAAACCCAAACCTGTCAACTGGCTACCATCTCGCCCGTGCACTGCATCCGTCCCGGGACAACTGAGCCTCGTGTGACACAGACAGACAGCCACAACCACAGACATACTTTGCAAAGCGACTAGTGAAGCAGCCCTGTCGGCACATCATCCTCCAGAAGAAGGTGATCCCGTAGTCCAGTGTGCGTGCACGAGCAAAATTCCCGGATACTCCGTACCCTATCCCATCACATAACATAATAGTAACTCCGAATAACGGAGTGAATATGGAGAAGTAAGTGGCGCAGATGTTTCAAGCTGAGGCATACGCCACTTTTTCTTTCTTCAATCAGCACATAGATACCATCTAATGTTAGTTAGTTAGGTGGGTGTTAACTGGTATAGACTAATTTAGTACCTTGTTCCAAGGTTTGGTGGGTTTGGTATATACTCTGTATCAGACATAGCTACTACTACTACGTAGGTACGGAGTATATCCATCTACTCCGTAGGAAACAATACTATCCACCTACTACCCACTTGCACTTTGTAAAACATCATGCACATCACTACTATTCCTGATAGACATCTAGTAGCCACATGGAAGTCAGCTAGGTTACTGGTATATACGGAGAACGCCGTTGACGCTCTGTCCAAGTAAATTGGAGCCCAGTTCCACACTGCTCGTCCCGAGGTTTTGGGTTGCAGCAACTATTCTGGTCTGTTCTCTATGATCAGAAGTAGAACTACCTCCGGTATTGCCTAGTAGGGTAGTAGGTAGTATTCATTTATCAGTAGACTACTGGTCTGCTTTTGCTAAGGAACCACTTTTAGGTTGAACTTGTTTCGGACCTATCCCGCATTTCACGAGCCCCTGATTTACTTTGTGATAGATGGATGGATGGGTGGATGGACAAGTGGATGGAGGATATTTACTGGTTGGAATTCGGGAGGGACGTAGCTCGGTAGGGCAGTGCACAGCCACACCGGGGCAACGGCTGTACTTTCTTAGTTTGGGGATTTTATGCTTGGAGCGGTTGAGGATAACAATCATAGTAGATGTTGTTAACGGGAGATAGAGAAATTGATACATTGGACATGTGTAGCTAATTGTTTGTTTGAAGCTAGGATGATGGGACGTGTGATAGTGGTGATCATCAACATACATATCCGACTTGATGTTTTCACCACCTCTGAATTTGTGATGTACTAAATGAATCATATACTGCCATGCAGTACCAAGTAAACCATCATACTATAGTAACTCTCCATACTCCCTCCCCCAAATACCCACAAAAGCCAGTCAGTCTAAGTCAGTAGCACAGTAGTTAGTTACTTCGGTACCGACAGACTATAATAGCATATGCTTAAATTAGCATCAAGAACACAAAAACCAAACAAGCGAGAGTAGAAAAATGGAACCAAAAGCTAAGCAAGTGAGAGAATTAAAAATAAACATGAGAAAAAAAATTAAAACTAGTAACCCAGACCGACACCCAAACCAAACCAACCAACCAGCCAACTAGAGTAGACCGTGACCTGACTACAGGTGAGACATACTACGGTTTGCAATTAGGGTTCGGGTTGCGCCTGGATGGGAAATGGATTGACGGGCGGGCTACTGCCACTTAGTTTAGTTTGGTTGCTGTTGTGTTGTGTCTTGTTGTGGGGGGAGCGCTTGGGTCGGCATTTCTTTTCTTTTACTTCTCACTACGTAACTATTTAGCTCTTTTTTTTTCTGGGTTTATTTCTATTTATTATCCTATATGAGACACAAGTACCGTACTATTCTATGAGTAGAATGGGTTATCTTGGCTAAATGGGGGAAGGATAGAGTGCGGCTGGCTGAGGAGAAACAAACGAACAAATAGGCCAGGCCAAGCCTTGCTAACTAACTAACTTACTCCTAGTTGGCAAGTCAAGTAAGGTGACAAGTGAACTGACTAGTTAGGATTCATCTAGATAAATAGTTTAGTTAACCTAAGAGACTTTCTGACTTCTTGACTAAGCGGACATTTCTCCTCCCTGCTTGACTTGTCTACATGCTTAGCTAGTGCACGGCTCCATAAACTTGCGGATAAGGAATTAAGACAGGTGAAACTAGTGAGAAAAAAAATTGAAGTAAAATTAAAATTAGATATATCTTACTTGATTTCTACGGTGTACTCCGTAGATACTGATATTCAGTTTGCTGTGTTTGTCTAGTGTGTAGATAACCATAACCAGCCACCATGATCACCATCCCGCTCATCCCCAACCAAAACGTGCCGATCAAAAAAAAAAAAAAAAAAAAAAAAAAAAAAAAAAAAAAAAAAGATAATTAGCTAGTTATTAATATTTTAAAAAACTAATTATTAATACCCCGAAGAACTAACCACTAGGTACATACGTACTAAAACGAGAGGTGTAAGCATTCCCAACCGGTCGGGAGACTTGAGACTTGAGAACTAATTGTTCAAAAAAAAAAAAAAAAAAAAAAAAAAAAAAAAAAAAAAAAAAAAACCTTCTTACCGTCTATCTGTCCGTCCGCTCCGGGTGGGCCGGACTCTACTTACTTGCTGCGTATGCACGGCGCGTGCAGTTTAAGACCTGTTATTGCATGCAAAATTTGACGTCCCTCGTTCTGTGCTACCTTTCTTCCTGTCTGCAGCTCCTAACTTCCCATATGGTGTATCCCGTGCAGCTGGAAATGAGTATGGATAAGGAAAGAAATTATCCGGGTGGTTCTGGTGGGTATGCCAGCATTCAACACAGTACTTGCTGGCGCATTTAATTTCCGATATCAGGGTTTGTGGGATAACCCTAGCATCAATTTGAGGGTTTTTATTCTCTGATTCAAGGGGTAATGGGCGGATGGATGGTTGATAGCCATGTCCAAGTAAGGGTGTAAACTCTCAAATGATGTACCTGGACCGGTCTACGTCAAGTCATGACTTCCGGGTAGATTGATTATCGACACAGAGAAAGACCAAGGTTTAGACTAGACGGGAGGATGCAAGGACGATCCAATCCAAGTCTGTCTCTTGCAGATGAAAATTAAACTTCATGCGTCTTTGCTTGGTGCCTCGTGAGAGGGTGGCAGGTTGTGTGTGTGTGTGTTCCTTCGGGGCTCCGTGCTGGGTCTTGAGATCCTGTGATGACAGTGGTGTGCTGTGTATGGAGCATCATCCACTAGGCAATTAACAATGACGGCATGCTGGCCGTTAGATTGGCAGCATAACATATAACAGGGATAACTAAGGCGCGACTAGAATCAACTAGAGCACGTTTAATCTGACTGCTGTGAGAAAGCGTAGACTGCCATTTGTCGTGGTGCCGGGTGGGTGCCAAGAGCCGGCCGGGAATTGGACGCCTTCCAGCTATTCATCACTTTAGCTGACACGCCGAGCCGGGGTTGATTGCCCACCGCAATTAAAAGACCCTGAATGCTTAATTGCGGTTCTTGTGCTTCGGCTGCTTGGGGACTGGGGTGCTGCTAAATGTGACAGATGCACAGTGGTCGATACCACCTTCCTTTCTTTGCTCGAAAGGAACGAGCATCATCACTTGCCCATCGTATGATCGATGATCACCCCAAAGTCGTAAATAGTAGCTGGTCTAAAAAATATTCCATCCCACAGAGTGACGACGTTCCGAATCCGAAAATACGGAGTAGATACGACAACCAGTCAACCACGCTTCCTCGGTAGGGAGCAAATTCCCACGCGCTGGGACCCATGGATCCATCGCTGCTAACCGTTCCACTTCCATCATGCTTCCGGAAGATTCACCTCCTTGTTGACCGGCCGCCGGTTGGTTCCTTGGGTTGAGGTTCGGAGCCGCTAGAATTGACTGGCTCACACTAGACGGAGTCGATGGGGGAAAGTGGAGCTTCGTAGGATTTCTCCGGTTGACCCCGGTGATGTTCCGGTGGTGGTGGATTTCACCATTGAATGATTTCCGGAGTCCAGGGCTCAATTATGAACCGTGACTGAATAATGATTGTCGATGATAATCCTCAGGCGGAGGATGCCGCCGGTGTACTCTGTAGATAGCTGTTGCACTGCCCGAGATTTCCACACTCTTCGCAATTTTGAAACAGATTTTCAAATGCAAAGGTTGACGATCATACTCCTCACGCACAGAGAATCCTTCCTTTAGCACACATGCAATAATATCTACTCGGCGATTCCTGCTGCCCATCAACGGCACAATTCACTACACCGGCCGAATACCATGCCCACTCAAGGGACGGCTAGCGCGCAGCCGGGGTTGGCATGGTCAGTGGACTAACAGCCCCGATGGACTGCGGGATTTTCCATACCTTGATCGACTGGGTTAGCCTGAAGTTTGAACGATGAAGGGCACAGAAACTCTGCCTTCCTTTCAAGCGATTCTAGGCAGTAGCCAATTTGTTTTGTCCTTTGAGGTTGTGGTCCGTCCGCTTGTTGAAACTTTGGCCGGTCACTCGGTCGGGCGCGGGCGGATTTCCCCGAGCATTGGCCGACCTCTGTCCTAGTGTCCTTTTGCCCTGTAGCAAAAGCATTCAGGAATGCCGAGCCTTCCTCCGACGTCTAAGGCAGTTGATACAAAGTACCTACCATTTCGGAAAGCTTCGTAGAATTGCTGGAGTAGATTCGGAGGTCAACATGCAAGACACTGTAAATTGGCTTGGCTTCGGGTTAATTGAAGAAGGTTTGTAGTAACAGATAGCTCATATGCCGGTGTTTGGGATATATATTTTTTCATATAGACGGTATGAAATGAGTAGTACTGTTAGTTTGCACTCATGTTTTCGTTTGACAGTCACAGGGGTAGTATTGCCTGCCTCACCTCGACCCCATGCAAACGCATGTCAGGTTGAGGGACCAAACCTTCCCTCGTGGCAATGAAACCATGGTCCTACAGACCACTTTTCCCTTTTCTTTCTCGAACATGAGCTCAAGCAAACCACTTTGGTCGCCCATCCCAATCAGGGACAAGCCATGCGCACTATTGTGGACAAGGACTGCTGATCATCCCTGTATGTAGCTTAGGGGACGAATCATCTCCATGGGGCTAATCATGCTATCTTTGTAGGGGCCCACAGCTTCCCTTTGGCATATCTGGATATGAGCCAGTAAATAGTCTCAATGCCTGCTGAGAATCTTTCTCGCCCGCAATTGCAAGGTGACTAAGGTAGGTACGGATACACTAGTTGCTGTAAGATGGCGAGCGCGCGTGCTTCTCAACGTGCTCCGAACGATGATCCGCCAAGTTACTGCCTTTGGGTCGATCTATACGACGAACTTTATTCGGCATCGGTTAATTTCTTGAGATTGAAGCGACTCCTGGATTGAGAGTCATGTCGTCACATCGCATAAGATGAATTATGACGACTAACGGCTGTCCGATAGTATTGTATGTGACGGACAGTGCCAGTACCTACAGTGACCACTGCTACACGGTACATTTAGAGAGCACCCGTAGTTGAGCAACCGGCGCAAAGCCCAACATCCATGACTCGGAATTCGGAATGACACAATTGACAGTGTCTTCGGGAGTCAATCAGTTCTGGCAGTCGTCCCGAAGCCCTGAAGACCATTGAGAGTATTCACGGCAAGTATGATCTAAGTTTGAGACCTATTTCTTACCAAACGTGGAGTACGGAGGACCTCCGCAACAAGACCCAGGGAGACTGAGCCACGATGTGCTGTCCACAACAGAATAAGATCGACAACGCTCGGCTTTTTCGATAACATGACCTCATGGGAAACTAGTGCACAGTTTGCCCAGGCTTGTTTCCTCTTGACTCCCGTCGATCTGAGTATAGCGTTAATGACTTGACCACCGTGGAACACCGCCATGACCTCATCTTCGGTCCGGGACCGTCAGCATGATCACATTGGGCGGCCTTACGACGATTAGATCCTAAGCAATAGGCTGTACCCAAGCGTTGGTCCGTGGTTGGGGGGTGCTACGGTGAGTTTGATTAAACATCAATAGTTCCATCCCTGTTCTCGAGAAAGGGCAAGCAACCAGGATAAGCAGTTTCCAGCTGAACGCTCGAGGCCACGATGACGGCCAGGATGATCAGCTCATGGCGGTTGGCCAGGTCTCAGCAGCTCAGCCGCGAGAAGCGTCCACTGACGGCTCACAGTGTGGTAACAATGCAGGGTCGCTCTGCTGCAAGTGGAGGTGGTAGCAAAGGTAGTACTACCATGCTGCTACCTTACCACCACCAGGGGAATAGCGTTTCGGTGCTTCCCATCGTGCCACTCACCGGACTTAATTGTGAGCGAATCAAGTGCCGACATTATTTTAGACGGAGGATTTTTGGAGGAAGAAGCGGAACCTTTTTTTCTTCTTCCTTTTCTTCTTTCTTTTTATGCGCTAAACCAAAAGGAAAGAGAAATCGAGTGGCAGTGGAGGGGAGGGGATCCACACCGCCCTCTTCTGGCACCAATGAGACGGCCATGTCCGACCCTTGCATGACTTCTTCCAGTGGAAGCCAATGCAAGGTTTGCTATGTTTAGCATCTTAGAAGTACCGCTTCCCTCAGATAGATCGGCCGCTAGATAGCTATTTCACGGTGGTGGTTGCATGCCCGCGTTCGAGGAGCCCACGATCCCACTGGCTGTCGACAAAAGTGCAAAATAGTGTGTTATCTTCTGTGCATGTACCTTGCTGTGCATTTAACTCACACCTTGCTTGATCGTTAACCGCTTCAACCGAGTTGACTAAATATCTGTTGGAAGGCAAACCATCCGCCTTGCCTACCAAAGAGAACAAAAGCCGAAAGGCTGGGGATTCAGACGCCGTTGAAAGTGGATGATCTCGGTAGTAGACAAAACTACTAGTAAAGCACAGTTGAACCAAAGGTCAGCCGCTGCGCTGCCACAATGTGGAGAGATGGAGGAAGGAAGGCACGGAACAACGGAATCGTTGGCTGTGACTGGCTCTGGAAGCGTTCCCTGCACGCTCGGGCGGGCTCGCAGTTGGCCTGACACCATTTCGTATGACTTACTAGTACTTACTTACTTGCTCTTGCTTCTCCGACTGATCAAACATGTGGAAGAAGACACACGACGGTACTCCCGTAGACCAATCAGCAATTAAGTTTTCCAGAAATCTTGGCGAACCATGCGAGAGTCTGATGTTTGAGCTTTGATGTCATGAGATGATGGTAGCGTATGGAGTAATAAACGATTTCGCTATGAATGCAGTGAGTCTACTTACTACGTACTGTCTACAACAAAGTACTGAGCAGCCGGAAGTCAAGGAGTACACGCCGAGCCGTGGGCGGGGAAAGTAGAAGGGGAGGAAGGCTTGTTCTTGAGGCCAGTGCAGGGTTGAGAGAGGAAAGATTGAGTGCCAATTTAGCTAAGCAGGTCCAACACGCATAAGAGAGATAAAGAAATAGATACTGTGAAGTTAATTAAGACATAACTTTGATACTCAACGACGTACGGAAAGATAGGACATAGTAGTCTTCTTCGGAACATCGGTCAGAAGTTGGACCCGATCACTGGAACTGCGAGGCTGAATCAGGCTTTATCTCCAGACCCAGAACGGAGCATTCCCAAACGGGATATTGATGGAGGGGGCAGCCAATAAACTAAAACGGTCTACTCTCGGCGGGTCACTGCTGCCTGAGGGCTCCAAATTAAGAAATTCCCAATTAGGCAAAGGTTCCTTGAGTTGGCACTGAATGTGCTCAACATTACTTCCTATTCGGGAAAGGGGGCAGGGGTGGGGGACCTTGCGAGAGCTAATAATATGTCACGAACTCACGATCGCTCCGATTCCTCTCTGCTTCCTCTTTACTCAATTGGTTTGCTTACCTCGGTAGACAGCTTCGATCGTACTAAGAACTTCCGCTACTTAAGTATTATCTCATCAAGAGGACTCCGCGGATCACGAAGGGTCCTCTTGCTAGGTCGGTTTTTCTCAACTTTGATTGGAAGGACTGCCAGTGGGAGTTACTTTCTATCCTTTGATTCCGGTTGTCAACTCTTTCGAGAAGGTGAGCCGGCTGGCCTAAGTCTTGAGACACCAAAAATTTTTGATAGGCCTGGGAAAAAATGAAAATAAGAAAAACCATGTCATAGGAGGGACTAGACAGTAGGAGTAGTAATGGTACTAGTCATGAGGACGAGAGGTCGAGTGATGATGCATGAAACGGGGCAAGGTGATATGGAAAAACGCAGAAAACGGTAACAACAACGAGGACATGACTGTGACGGTTAAAGTTTGCTACTTGCTAGCACAATATCTTACTTACTGAGTTAGCACAGAACTAAACAACTACTACTAGCATCTAAGTTGACCCTTTTACTGGATACAGAAGACCGTGACAGGGCAGCTCATCCTGCCAGATGTACGAGGTTGTTTAGCCCAAACTTTCTGCGGAACAGTTATGATGGTAGGCTGGGTGGCTGCCCGGGGGGATCCAGTTTTATTCTTAGGCCCCGTATCAGCCAGTGTATCAGGGCCTCCCGAAAGGCCAAGGAAATAACGGAAAAAGGTGAACATCGCCCCCTTCCCCCACCAACGAGGATCTCAGGAAGAATGGAAAATGACTGGAAAAATATGGTACAGTCGCCGCAGGTCATACTTTGCAGAGTAGATGGAGACCATCTGTTTACCAATTTGAATCCCATAGGGCCGGAGGAATCTCCAGTAGAACCAGAGTTACTACGGAGGTAAAAATAACGGGAACCAGAAACCAGTTCTCTTTTTTGCCTTTTTCCCACCCCTCCTCTCCTCTCTCTCCTCCTCCTTCCACTGGCTTCTGCAGCCCTGATCTTTTTCCCTTGGGGGGGGGGGATCCACCGGTCAAGGCGGCATGGACCGCTTGAACGGTGCCTGCTGCTATTCTTTGCTAACACCCTTGCTAGCCAGTTTAGCGCCTCTTCCCTGGATTTATTTGGGGGAGGGAGTTGGATGATTATTCACCCAATACCCAATGGTGGGATTCCTCTCACCAAATAAGAATCTCCTCTTCCGAGAATAAAAATAATTATAACGTTTCTTACTTTCTTGGGCTTCATGACCTTTTAGCCCTGAAGCTAACTAAACCTATCTGGACTAAGAACTTCCCTACTCTCTCCACTTAGGATTTCCCCTCTTAGTGAAGGGCCGCTTTCCTAGCAAAGACGGAGGGTAGCAAAAAAGGAATAAATGAAATTAAAAAAATTTAGAAATAAAAAAAAAATTTGAACTAGACTAAAGAAAATAGAGTGAAGGGTCAACGAGCAAGAAAAAAAAAGATTTTTGAAAAAAGAACCCTTTTATTTTTGATTTTTTGATTTTTCCCTCCCTCTACCCTTAGAGAGCGGGGATTGTCTTCTTACGGCCTTCCCATCCTTCCCATCCTTGAAGCTTTCCCCGTGACCCGATCCGATGCTGAGTGGTTCCTGGTCAAAGGAGGATCGGAAAGTTCGTAAAAGAAACCCATCTCAAAGGGTTATGGGACGGTACTAAGGTCTCCATGGGACTGGTAGTCTAGCGGTAGAGATGTGGAGGACCACCACCAGCCCAGGGACTTTTACGATGGAGAAAAAAGATCCAGTTAGCCCAACCAGCCATTTTGGTCTGGTCTTCAGATTTCAGGGTGTTATGATTCCCCGAACAACCTCAGGTATAATTATAACAACACACACTCACGCGAGAGAGGAAAAGACGCCGTTTGATCTTCCTCGGTGACGGAGTTCACTTAAAGAAAGATTGTTATTATTATTATTATTATTCTTCTTCAATCCTCTTATCCTCATTACTATTATCAATCGTCATTTATTTATATCATTCCGGGATCCATTAACCTCGAGGGATCAAATTGAATTGTTTTCCAACAATACCCCCGGCCCTGCAAACCTGATCCCTACTACTTCCTACTTATCTAACTATTTTCCCTTTCCATCCTCCCACCAGCACATCCCCGCCACACTAAGGCTATTGTCGCCCAGTGCTCTTTCGTTTCTTACCACCGCATCCTCGGCTCAAAGCGGATTGCTTTGAAGGGAAAAGTAATATATCTCTCGTCATCTCGTACTTGACGGTCACTCTTGTTCTTTTTTTATTTCCTCCACTATTATTGCTCCTCCTCCTCCTTCTCCTCCTACTACTACTACTTCTCTTCTCTTCTTCCCCCCCCTCCTTCCCTCCTCCTCTCCCCACCTTTCCCCCTTTCACTTATTCTGTGATGGCACAGTGAAAGTATCCCTTGTATTTCTCTTTTTTTATTATTAACACTTCCACTCGCTCGTCCCACGTTCGCCTTACACTCGCTTTGTTTGGTATCGGAAGTATCATTACGTTCGCTACGTTTGTGTTGATCAACGAAGAAGGAAAGAAATAAATAAGAGAAGGACCGAATTGAGAAAAAAAAAATTATTGACGAAGGAGAGAAGCATTTATTGGCAAGCCGCATTGGGAACTGATCGGACTTATTGGATATCCTAATATCTAATCCTCACGGACTCTACGCGCTCGCTGATTGTTCGACAACCGTCGCTATATCTCTGTTTAATTGCCTCGAAGCTTGGCTCCGTGTTTATCCGACCAGAAGGGGGAGAATATTTTTTATTTCTATTATCTTCGACAATAGTGTCTTAATATTTCCGAAGCAACCAAAAATCCGCGGGAAAGCCGCTGATTGACTGGACGCCATCTACTTTCCGTGTCGTGTGGTCTCCTCCCCCAGCTGTTCGTTTGCCTGGTCCCTTATAAGCCGGATCTATAGAGCGATCTCCGTTTGTTGAGCGGAAGGACGATCATCGAACCACCCCCCCGTCTCTCGTCACGCCGAACAGCCCTCCCCATTTCAGCGAAATCACCTTTGATTGCAGTGTCCGCATTCGCTCATCTGTCTCAATTTTACCCTCCGAAGAGAAAAAAAAAGAGTGTGGATCGTCAGCTAGCCTTCTTGCCAACCTTGTCTCTGTAGTCCTTCACACGAGGTCGGACCTGGACTCAAACCATCGTGGATCTTTGTCTCGGCTGAGGACACCACCTTATTACAAACTAGCAGGGAAATATCTCAAATAGGCTGCGTTTACTGACGAAGCCTCTCCCTGTGCTGAAGTCATTGGTCTGTTAAGGTTGGTGCCAACCCCCCCCCTCACCCTTTGCCACAGACTCTGTTGGTGCCTTGCATCACTCTCCTTCGTGTCCCCTTCCCTCTGTACTCCTTGCTTCTCCAAGGTCGTGCCTTTGCCGCACAAGATCCCAAGGAAAATTAGGGTCCACGATGGGTTCCGTGCGCTTGTCACCTCCCCTTGTATGGTTTCCGTCACTAAACTTCCGGATGTTTGTTGTTAACCCGCCCCCGTCAAGGTGTAGACTATCTCGTTTAGTCGCTTAGGGACCGTGACTTCTTTTGCATATTAGATTTCAAAAAGACCTCAGAGACGCATCTCTTGTCTTTTCATCTCACCTGGTAAGTCTTGCTGGTCTATGCAGCGAGCCGGTTCCTCGCCTTTTGGGAGGGTTCGTACTCACTAGTTGGGTAGTTCGTGCCCTGACTTTTAGTCCTCATCCTGAGGAAATCCTGAGACACTATCGCTTCCACAAACGCCAGAAAAGCGAAAAGGGTCTTCTTTTCAGTTCGACCGGCTCGTTCTCGCTCGCTTTCGTCCAGAGTCTGCCACGGACATTTGCCATTCAACCTGCCCGCCGCGTGAGGTTAAAACAGCGCCATCAGATGGAAGCAGGTTTCCTATAGGTTATCAAAAGCATTCATCGGCAGCGTGGCTCACCACTGGTTCCTATTCTGCAGCCAACCTTTCGTGGTTTCACCCTGAGGCGTCGGATCCTGATCGCTGATTCGAAGCTTTTCGTGCCATCTTCCTCGTCCGGGCTGACAGCCACTTCGTGTCGTCATTCGTTTTGTCTCGGAGAGCTCGCTAGAGACTTTCCGGCATCCTATCGTTTTTCCAGGATAAATTCGCTGTCATTCGCTTTTTTAAGCTGTTGTGCTTGGTTGCAGTTTCTGCAACACCTTCAAACTGGC